CCTTGTGTAGCTTTTTCTGCACATCTCAACATTTCTGCCCATTCTAAGCACCTTGCAACCATCAGAACCATGCCAGGATGCCTCGTTTTTGCAACCCTAACCCTACCTTGGTGCACACCCCTAACCCTAATATAGGGGTAAGGTTCCACTGAAAAGAGGGCCATTTTGAAAAAGCCTTCCTTGAGTAGCTCTTTCTGCACATCTCAACATTTCTGCCCATTCTAAGCACCTTCCAACCATCAGAACCATGCCAGGATGCCTCATTTTTGTAACCCTAACCCTACCCTGGTGCACACCCCTAACCCTAATACAGGGGTAAGGTTCCACTGAAAATAATGTGATTTTGAAAAAGCCTTCCTTGAGTAGCTTTTTCTGCACATCTCAACATTTCTGCCCATTCTATGGGTGCCCATTCTAAAGGTGCCCATTCTAAAACCACCTTGAGGTTTTTGTTTTGAAAAAACAACTCATAGCCAGTGCAAGCAAATATATATGTATCCTTGGTATCGCACTGACTGGCCATACGAAAGCTCGGACAAATCACGGCTATGAGTGGTGGCTCTTGACATTATCACCTGGCGCCACTACTCTTTTCTGAGCATGCACATGGCCCCTGTGTACACTGTTACCCGATGCTCGGCTGCTGGGGCGATGCTGGGGCGACCGGGCTTGCGAGCCGACAGAGAGGGTTCTGCGTCCCCGCTGTGCCATGGATTCTCCACCACTGGCCTATGGGATGTTCACAGGTGGTACATGAGAGCAACAGCAACATCCCCCTGCCAGCCTTCCCTGGCAACTGCCACGCACAGGCATCCTGCCCGAGACTGGAGGTACAATATAGGCAGCGGGACTGGTAAGAACAGACAGCCTTGTCCGCCATGAATCTGTCCAGTTCCCTTTCTCAAGCCAGCTGGATTTGTGGCTGATGTCTTGCGAAAGTGACTTCCATAGTTCAACTCTGTGGTGCATGAAGAACTATTTCCTTTTCTCAATCCCGAAGCTCCACCAATCAGCTTCTCCTGCTAAGTGTGGAAGTCTATCGCTGAGAGAGCTGGTAGAGACCGCATGATGCTAGTTTACTCCACAGTCATTTCCCTAAAAGGCTATGATCTTTTAGGGACCACACAGGGCTAGAGAGGTCTCCACATATCAGGATTATTATATATAAAAATACATAGGCGCTGGTTTTATTATTTTTGCTAATTATTCTACAAAATGTTTTTCTTAAGTTTGGGCCTGCTGCCTTGGAAGCATTTTGCACTCTAGACATAAGATACAGATAGTATAAACAAAAATAAATTAGTCCCCTTGTTCTAAGATATTGTGCATTTTGTACACTCCAAGCAGCGACTGAGGATCAAGAGTAAGATCCCTCAAAAAGAATGCACCCCAAACTTCAACAGCATTTGACTTTAAGTCACATGCCAATCTGCAGTCTGAAAGAATTCACAGAGATATACCAAATAGAGGTGGTTTCCATCGGCGCAGGGGGGCTGCTTCAAGTTTTTGGAGTTTCCTGATACAAAAAACTCAATGGAGTAAAGCCAGACAATTTTGCAAACTTACTTTAGATTTAGCACTGTACATTTTATTCTGCTTTCCTTTCAGGCCCCATCCATTACCCCCACTTATCTTGCTGCCTCTCCAAATATACTTTGCTTTTGCCTACACAGTTTATAAAAATGCATATTAATGAGCATAATTGCAAATTCTTTAGTTCTGAACACATTCCACTCTTTCTCTGATTCTCCTATACAAGGTTAAGCCAAAAATAAGCTAAAAATAATATTTTTATTATTTGCCTGTTCTTTGAAGAATATCAGTATTTCTCCTTTTGTATTTTGACTTCTATGCAATGAATCACTGAAATGCAAACAAAAAAGCAAAGCATCATTCTTCTTCCCTAAAACAATTAAGCATTTGTAAAACTGCCTCAAGACTTCTAGTACACATGTAATTGTATGCATGCAAAATTTTGAAGCTTCAACTAAATACACGAATACTTCTTTCATACCTGAAGTTCAACTGTTACAACCTATCAACAGGCATGCAGTAGGGCAATATTTTTCTGTCATCCCAGGTGTGAGGGAACTGAACAGCACACACACCTGACATAGGAGGTACATGAACTAACATTAACACAATTTGCTCCTTCATGGCATAGCTTTTCTGAACATTCCCGTATTTCTAAAGCCCTATGAATGATCTGCATCTTGAGCATTTGTGATGCTTAAGAATGAAACATGCATGAAATCATATGACATCATGAGCCATAAAATATTTGGCAGCTAAAATTCCATGTTTACAAAACCCACGCCTTTTAAAATGTCAGTTCTAAAACCAGAAGGCACTGCCTGATGCAGGCACAGATCAACAAAAGCCTTATTTTTTCCTTCTTCAGCAAGTCATGAAGGACAGACCCTAACCTCAGATTATAATACAGGTAAGAACAAGCATACAGCTGTGTCCAAAGGCACCTACATTGGCATAAGAGGAGTTGGAGACTAGTGAGAAAGCAAATCCATTGGTTTTAATCAAGTAAAAAGCCACACATGTACCTTTAAGCTGGTCTGCCACGACACTCTGGCCAACGCGCTCGATCACTTTTCCATCCTCCATTTCGTAGCGGTCATCCAAGTATTTTGCAGTAGCCTCTGAAATATGGACCTTCCCTGCCACACCCAGTTGCTCCATTAAGTTGGCCAAGTTGACATCATTAGACCATACATCAAACTTAAACCTCCTCATTCCTAAAATGCCACACAGGACAGTCCCGGTGTGAACGCCAACCCGCATGTTCACCATTTCTTTCTTCTCCTGGCAAAATTGTTCGATGGCTTTAATCATGCCCAAGCCCATCTCAATGCAGCAATACGCATGGTCCTCGCGGGGCTCAGGGCAGCCCGCCACACAATAGTAACAGTCCCCCAAGGTGCTTATCTTCTCACATTTTGTGTCTTCACACAGGCGGTCAAAGCGGCCAAAGAGATCGTTCAGGAGGCCCACAAGTGCATGGGCGGACTTGTTGGCGCTCATTTTTGTGAAGCCGACGATGTCTGCAAACAAAATACTGACTTGTTCTATCTGCTGCATTTTGAAAGGTCGGAATATGAGGGGGTTCTTCTGGATGGAAGGCTTTTTCTTTCTGTTCTTGGGGCTGGAGGTGGAGTGGCGCTTGACCGAGTTCTCGCTTTCGTCGTCGCCCTGCTTCATCAAATCGTCGGCGATAATCCGGGGCATGACAGAGTGGATCATCCGCTCCTTGAGCGCCTTTTCCACCTCGAGGTCCTTGCCGTGCATAATCGACTGCCCCACCTTGAGGAAAGTGCTCCTGGACCTGACCTCGGACATGATGAACAGGTGGATGCCCGTGGCGTGGATGCAGATGTGAAGCAGGGCCTTGCTGAGCAGCTCCCAGTAGTCGCGCTGGTCCACGAAGGGCACGAAGCAGTGCTCGCTGCGGAAGTGGTACCCGAAGGCTTCGAAGAGGACCGAGTAGGCCAGCCCCAGGAAGAGGCTCAGGTAGAGCGGCAGGTGCATGACCGTGTAGAGCAGCAGCAGCACCTCGATGCACATGGAGAAGCTGCCCACCGGCGACAGGCAGGCGGCGGCGGCGGGCGCGGGGCGCGAGGCGTTGGCACCGGCCGCGGCCGGCGGCGGCCCGAGCGCCTGGAACTGCGGCGCCAGCGTGAGCGCGAAGACGAGCAGCGTGAGCAGCAGCGAGGTGCCAACCGGGTGGCGGCCGTAGGCGCGCGTGAAGGTGAAGAGGAAGAAGGCGAGGCAGGCGGCCAGGAAGACGAGCGCCGGCGCCACGAAGGGCGCCTGCCGGCCGCCCGGGCCCAGGCGCAGCGCGAAGTAGGCGCCCCACAGCAGCCCGGCGGCGCCCAGGTACGAGAGCGCGTAGCGGAAGCGGCGCCGCGTCTGCGGGAAGCAGCGCTCCAGGCAGGCCTCCTCCAGGTTGCTCGAGTCGAACTGCGGGTCCCACCAGCGCCGCGAGGCGCGCTCGAAGAGCTGCGGCAGCCGCGTCGCCTTGCGCCGGGCGCCCAGGCCCAGGCCCAGGCCCAGGCCCAGCCCGAAGCCGAAGCCGCCGCCG